AATGCTTTTTCTGAATCTATTGAGATGATCATATGGTCTTTGTCCTTGACTCTGTTAATATAGTGTATGACAGGGTGGGGATTTAGCTCAGTGGTGTCACCACCGGCCTTGCAAGAGCAAGGTCCTGAGTTTGATCCCCAGTACCAAAAAAAAAAAAAAAAAGACTCATTATCAATGAATTTTCAATGATGGTGGCTACATCTATACAGCATGGACCATAACTTGGCAGAACATGCATCTGGTCCACATTTCAGCCCAGTGCTGAAATTCTACAGGGTGGCCCCCAAGCTGGTGGCTATTGAGAATTTCTAGAAGTTTTCCAAAGAGATCTTCCCTCCAACATAGGGTCAACATTTGGTAGGTAGTTATAATTAGAAACCCTTTCTAATAGATTAAGACCTAGCAGATGGTGGAAGGGAAGGTGTGTTGGAAGTTAGAAATCTACTGTGCCTCTGGCTTCCTGTGTTGCAACTGACAAATTATTTAACTTCTCTGGGCCTCTGTTACTTCATTTGTAAAATAACGGGGTGATACCAGAGGATCTGCCATAGCTCCATCATACTCTGATTCAGAGTGGCTGAAAGTTGAAATTGAAGGAACAGAGAAAGGAATGGATAGATTTTTCTTAGAGAGAAGGCAGAGTCCAGGAACTTATGAGGAGAAGCATAGGAGGAAGAGAACCAGAAAAGGAAGAGGCAGCTGCATTATCCAGAGAAAAAGCCACTAAAGTCACTCTGAGGAGAATGTGTCAAGGCTCTAACTTGCTAGCCAGGAAGCAGGGTGAAGGAGGATAATTCTAGGGTTCAGGAGTGAACCCCTGGGAGATGCAAAAGAATGTGGGCTCACAAGGTGGTTCTAACTCCAAGTGAGTTGCAGGGGCCAGCAAAGGTTTCATTGGGGTAAGAGGTGGGCAGCAAGCATTGGTTTGTCAGTGGAAAATCTTGAGTTTAACTAGGTAGTTTAGTATGGATATGATTCACAGGAGGAAGAGGAAGATCTCAGTTGAGCACAGAAGCACAAAGTAGGATAAGTGAATGCACCCTGAGGTTGCATTAATGGAGGTAGCGAGGCCAGCCTGAGGGAGGTGATGTTCATGTTACCATCATGTCTTGTGCTCAGATTTGGCTGGCTCGCTCTAAGAAGGACATGGATGAGGGGGTGCGAGGAAAGATTAGGAAGAGAAGATTTTGAGGAATGGTGTCAGTTGCCCTGTAAATATCTGTGGGACCAAGAGAACATCACAGGAGAGCTTCTCCCTGTCTTTTCTACTTTTACTGCAGATAGAGCCGTTTCCGGAGGGTGCTTTGGATTTCAGGGTTCACTTTCCTCATTCTCCCTTCCTGAAGCAGCTCTTTATTTGCCATACGCCGGGTGACCTGAAGCAATAGGTGTAGTCAGCTTAGGGATTGAGCTCCTGGGAGAGTTGGTGTCATGGGTTTATGGGGAGAAAGTTAGAGAATGTGGCAGGTGGGTATGGTGACAAAAGACCTTTGCTGTCTCCCCCTGTTCCATAGTTTTCATGGAATCTCTGGTTGGACTTTTTCCTTGATGTACTGGAGATTGAACCTAGGGTCTTCACGCTGACCTACATCCCCAGCCCTTTTTTACTTTTTAATGTCCAGTCTGACTTCAAACTTACAATCCTCCTGTCTCAGCCTCCCAAGTAGCTGGGATTACAGGCTACTGTGACTGGTTGGAATATATATGTGTGTTTATTATATTATATTATATTATATTATATTATATATTATTATATATTATATATAATTTTTTAAAAATCTGCAATAAAAGATACCACCATTAAAGAAAAAATTTTTGCCCAAATATTAGTTCAGTATGAAAGGACTGTTCAAAGAAGTTTTTTGTATTTCATTAAACCGTCTCATATACTGTGGGTTTGGGGAGTCTGCACCAGGGAAATTTATCACTGGCATAAAGACAGCCTCGTTTTCAGGTTGGGATTTGGGGCTGGGGAAATGGAGAAACACTGGGGGAAGCTCAGCCTGCTCCACCCAGGTGGGACTCCAGTTACCTTGTCCCAACTCACCTCGGTCAGAAGTTCCAGGATGGATCCTTTTCTGTCTTTGAACACCTTCACCAGCGTCTGAATGAAGCAGGAGCCTTCCTCATCGTGTCTGTAGGCAATGTAACCTGTGGGTTTCAGAGAGGGGAGTTGGGCTTCAGGGGTCAGGAGTGGCAGGAGAAGAGACCACCGCGGGCCAGCTGGGCGCTCCTACCCTCCACCGTGGAGTAGACATGGAGGGTGTCCGTGTACGTGGGGATGGTTTGAGGGCTGTCGTCAGTGATCATCAGGACCTTATCACCACCTACTGTTTCGCCGAGGTCCCTGTGCTCTGAGAGAACCAAAAGAGGAAAAGGCAGGGTCAGAAAGGAAGCTGCGGAGGGAGAAGGCTCTGCGGCGGTATGGCGGTGGGCCACGTCGGGGTGGGGTGGGTGAAGAGCGAGCGGCCCTGTGTTCCTGGCTCTGTCCCACCTCCTCGACAGGCCTGCACAATGAACACTTTAGGCTTGGCTCTCAGGGCTTGGCAGTTCTTGTTGTTCAGGACCTGGAAGAGGTCATCCAGCCTGACCATCTCCGCATCTTCTCCCTCGAGGAAGCCTTCTTCCCCATGGGCCATGAGCACCACGAAGGCACAGCTGACAGGCTCTTCCCAGCTATCTATGACCTGCTGGAACTTTTTCATCTCTTCTTGGAATTGCTGGAGGGAGAGAAATGACCAGGCTCAGTAGGGCCCTAGAGCCCTCCTCTGGTTTGGCCCCTTCCCTCATGCCTGGAGCTGGCAGCCAAATACCTGAGCAGTGGGATCTCTTTTCATGATGCTCTTGAATCCCAGGTACTGGAACATGCCTTCCAGGGCTTCCAGGTCTACCTCGGAACCTTCCCGGGCTTTGGTAACACACAGTGTCAGGGCCAGGCGGGCGCCTGACATATCATACTCCTCCTGGCCAAGAGGTGACAGATTCAGCAAGGGCAAGGAGATCATGGAGAAGCAGAAGGTGCAGGCAAAAGAGGCCTGGGGTTACCATTGCCAGGTAAAATACAAGGTACCATGATGCATTTCAAATAAAAAATAAGTTGGTAGAATAAGTACTTTTATATCCTCAATATTGTGTAGGATATACTTATACTTATAACAATGCATTCGTTGTGGTGAAATTCAAATTCAAGTAGGATCTTCTGTTTTTATTTGCCAAATCTGGCAACTGACAAATGAACCTGAGATTTGATTCTCTTAGCAAGACTTGTTGGGTAGGTCACTGTCTTTATCTGGGCCCCAGGTTCCAAATTTAGGTGTGTGTGTGTGTAATTTTGAAGACCCTTTCCCGTTGTTACATTTGATGGCTTTTCTCTCTCCCTATTCTTCCCAAGAACGTTCTGAGAATTCCTCTATCATTTCCTCACTTACAAAGGTCTCCAAATTTCTGAAGCCACTCACCAACTATACACCCACTTATTCCTTCTAACGAAGAAGGATTTGGGTCAGAAATTTCTTTTCTGGGCAGAGGATTTAGTGCAGTGGTGCCACGGCTGCCTTGTGCAGTCCTGAGTTTGATCCCTGGTACCAAACAAACAAACAAACAAACCAAAAAACAAAACAAAACGAAAACAAAAATTTCTTTTCTGAAGAGAAGCATGGTACTGAGTCCATAGTGATAAGAACTGATCTTTAGAGACAGGTAGAGCTGGGTTCCCTCCCTCTCCAATTTGGGTTAAATTTCTGAGTCTATTTTTTTATCATTTGGAAGATCACAAAGTTCTTTCTAGCTCTGAGTATGAGTTATTTTTTTCTTTCTCACTACTCTTTTTTTTTTTTTTGGTGCTGGGGATTGAACTCTGGACCTTGAGCTTGCGAGGCAGGTGGTGAAACCACTGAGCTAAATCCCCGGCCCTCTCACTACTCTTTTTGAAAGATTAAGTTCCTCACCTCCTTCCTCTCCAGGTGTTCCCCCTTCCTTCAATCTGTCCCCCAACCTACCTCCTCCAAAGGCTGAGGATCACTCATTTCTCCTCTGATTCTGGGTTCAGCTCTCAACACTCTTTTCTGAACCTGAAGACCAAGAGAAGATAGGTTGAAGGTCTCCAAAGAAGGCAAAGGACCAGGGGACAGAGTGGCCTCTGGGTTTCTGAGAGTGTATAAGACACCCATGGTGGACCCTGGCATATGCTCAGAGCCGGGTAAGAGATGGCAGTCTGTGGTTCATGTTCTCCCTCAGCTGACAACCTCGTAGAGTCTTCCATCCATGGGTGTCCTCAAAATGCCATCCCTAACCCCTCTGGAGCCCCCTCTTGCCTGCTTCAGGACACTCAACTGCCTGTGATGGACTTGACCTCCTGCTGAAGGCTCTGGATTGGTGAAAGGGTCAAGTGGGCCATTTGTTGTCCTCTTCTACTCAGGAGATGACTAGCTGGGGTGGCATCAGTAAGGAGAAGCCTTTGGGTTGGACTTCAAATGAGAATTCCATCAAAGTTGATGAGTATTATTTTGAAGCTATCCTGGTGGGTCTCTGAGAGACTGAAGAGGTCTCTTTGCTTTGAAACTGAACATCTATTAAAGTTCTCTCTTCTTTTCTCTGAGTTCTGCTCTCTGGCTAAACAGAAAGACTTCTGGCATTTTCCCATCTAACTTTGTCACTTCTTCTTCATCAGCCTGGAATTGCCAGAGGAGAGCCCTGCTTGATGATGTGGGTGGAGTGACGTCTGCCATACCGTCTCCATCTGTCCTTGTCTCCACTCACCCAACCATTCATGCGTCTACCGTTTCCTCATCTCTTTACCCAGACACCCATCCACCATTCATGCTTCTATCATCCATCCATTTATCCATCCATCCACCCATTAATTCATCCAGTCACTTATCCATCACTCACCATCTATACACCCACTTATTCAGCTGTCTTTCCACATAATCAACCCATCTACCTATCCGTTCAACTACCCATTCATTCATCTACCACCCATCTACCAACCACCCATCCGTCCATTTATCCATCCCTCCATCTGTTTACTTATCCATCCATCTGTTTATCCATCCATCCATCCATCTGCTTATTCATCCATCCATCCATCCATCCACTCACCACCCACCTCTCTAGCACATACTTCCTGGTAATCTATTATTTGTTAAGTACTGGGAACATAGTACATAAGACATTCTTTTTGTTCATATGTAGCATTAGTGTATGAGAGAAATGAACATCAAATCTTTCTGTCTAGACACACACACACACACACACACACACGCACACAGAGCAAAGAAAGAGGAACCAGATGTTGTGAAGGAGAAAGTGGAGGGAGCACAGCTCTAGAACCAGATACACCAGAATCAAGTGCTCGTTTCTCCTAGCTGTGAGTGCTGAAGCATTTCACTCCTCTTCTGAGACTCAGTTTTCCTGAGGAAAGACCTTGGAAGAGTGTTAGGTGCTTCACAGCAATGGCAAATCAAGGTAGGTTCTGTGATTCCAATTTATGCCCTGGACATAGCTTCTCCCTTCCCCTCATCCCTGCACTGCTGCTTGTTTATACTTGCTTTATAGCAGCAATCTTTTTTAAACTACTCACTGAATATCAATCACATTCATCATCTCTTTGTGGTTATATGCACATAGAAAGATCGCAAGGCAGATATATTTATAGGTAGACACAATTTTATGAGGACGTGACATGTGCTTTATAGAATAGCAGTGTTTTTGATTCTCATTCTCTTGGCTTTACTGGCAGCTCAGATTTCAAGAGTGAAAGCCTGGCACCTTCATCTCTGTCTCCAACAGTGGGCATGGAGGTGGTGCTGGGGAGAATTTATTGAATAAACAAATAATAAATGAACAAATGAAAGAAAGCCTGGAGAGATGGGTGGATGAATGATGGAAATTTCTTCAGTTCTGCCAGAACTGGTGAGAAAATCCATTCATGAACGACAGGTGTGTGTGTGTGTGTGTGTGTGTGTGTGTGTGTCTGTGTGCAACAAGGAGAGGTGGAAGAGGAAGAGGTGACAGTGGCCACATCACTCACCGGCTGTAGACACAGTTGTTCCTTAAGGCCAAGCTGAAGCTTCTTGCTCTCCTATCTGCTGGTCTGGGGCTGGGCTTTGAGGAGGAGTTGGATCCACGTGCTGATCCCTGAGAAGGGGCTGACAGTGCCGGATCTCCCCAGGTTCTCCCGAGAGGCCTGACTGTGAAATAGCACAATTATCAGTTCCTTTTATTGCCAGTGAGTCTTCTGTCACTCACACAACCTCACAATGAGAGGGACACACCCTCGGCACAGCCTTGGTGTTGAAATAGAGTCAAACGCCCATGGAGTGAGTGACAGGAGGGCTCTGCTGATGTCCCCTGGCTAAAGACGCTGGGGCAGAGAATCCGAGTAAGCCAGAGCGTGGTGCCAAACCAGCCACAAGACCATCCACCGGCACTCTAGGCTCGGCTCATCGGCACCCAGCATTCCTACCGCCCTGCCTATTTCCCCCTCCACCTCCAGGGGAAGATGACACCAACTTCACTGGCTTATCATCATGTCACGTCCTCAGGAGCCCTGAGTGGTCACCATTGTCCCCCCCACTTTGCAAATGAGGAACCCTAGGTTCATGTGGTAAAATCACGTGACCGCTTGAGGCCACACCACCAGTGACTGGCACAGTGGACATCTGAACCCAGGAGGATCCGACCCTTTGGCCCAGTTGCCGTTGATGCTCCACTGTCACCTCAGCCCTTCTCTTTTCTTCCCGTGGGGTTCCTCCTCTATTCTTCTTCAGAATTTTGTTTTGTGATTTTTAAATGTTATGCCAGCCGCCTTCATGAGATATTATTCACATTCCATATGGCTCCCCCACCTACAGGGTCCTATTCAATGGCTTTAGGATATTTACAGAGTGAGGCCGGTTCAGAACATTATCATCACCTCAGAAAGATACCCTGCACTCTTTAGCTATGGCCCGAACCCTCTCAGCCCCAGGCAGCCACCAGTGTAACTTCTATCTCTATAGATTTCTCTGTTCTGGGTGTTTCATGGGAAAAAATGTTATTATATGTTGTGCTTTATATCTGGTTCCATATCTTTAAAGTTCATCCAGGTGGCAGTGCATATTATTACTCCATTCCTTTTCCATGACTACGTGTTATTTTCCATTTTGTGAATGAATAAATATAATTTGGCTGTTTGAATAATGCTATTACAGACATTTATGTACATGTTTTTGTGTGAACATGTGTTTTCATTCCTTTTCTAGGAGTGGAATATTCAAACAATACAGGGATGTTTAAACACACCCGGACCATTCCTACACCTCTAATTCTTCCCTTTGCTTTGAGATAACACAGACACAAGACTAAGCATTTTCCTTTCAGTTCTTACCTTTGTATTAACTTGCACATTATCAGCTGTTGTTTGTATACATGGGGTCATTTTACCAAATTGCTCTGTTACTTGTTTTGTTCACCTAATTTTATGTCTGGGTCATCATCCCTTGTCAGTACCTATGGAACAAAATCATATTTTTTGTTCTTTTGTTTTTGGTACTGGGGATTGAACTCAGGACCTTGTGCTTTGCGAGGCAGGTGGTGACTAAGCTGAAGCTCAGAAGTGAGCTAAATCCCCAGCCCCAGTGTTTTTTGTTCTTTAAGAAAACTTTTTAGTTGGACTTGGCGATGCACACCTGTAATCTCAGCTACCCAGGGGCCAAGGCAGGAAGATGTCAAGTGAGACTCTTGCCTGGCAACTTTAGGAGACTGTGTCTTAAGATAAAAAATAAAAAGGGCGGGGGGTATAGTTCAGTGGTAGTGTGTCCCTGGGTTCAATGCCCAGTAGCACAAAAAGCCCCCAAACAACCTCTAAAATGTCATTGAAAAATGCCTGCAGATAACAGCACAAAACTTTCTTTTCAATGAGCTAAGAGAAATGAGTAGTATACATGAAACAAATTAGCACCTATATAAAATATTTTTGAAACAATGGAATAGAGAATTTGGGGAATTATTTGAACTTCTCCCTACCCTCTATTTCTCTATCTTTTTGTCTAAGACCTGTATTCTGAGTGACATTTTGGCTATTCTTTAAACAGTATGGCACACAGTGTATTAACTGTTGCTATTCTCTATTTTGTTAAGAAACTTTGTTTTATTTTTAATAAAAAAATCTACATGCATAAAAGTGCACAAGTCTTAAGTGTGTGGCTCAGTGAATTTTCATGAACTGAATGTCTCCAACCAGCACCTGCCCAAGGAAAAGAATATAACCAACCTTGTGCCTCCAAATTTCCTTCCTTTCTGTTTCCTTCTGACCACTATCATCTCTAAACACTATCCTAATAGAGAACACTACAGATTTTTTTTTCTGTTTCTGGGACTTCATATAAATGGAATCACACAATATGTTGTCTTTTGTGTCTGGTTTGGATCAGTCAACATTATGTTTGTGAAACTCAATCATTGTTAGCATGTGTCTTTAGTATTTTTAAAATCTAATTATTTTTATAGCAATGTCTCTCAATTTTCTCATTATCGCCACCTACAAGTCATCATAGACATTGTCCTGTAGTCGTCATGCATGAAATTTCATACTATAGATATATCACATTTATCTATCCATCCATCTATACACCCATGCATCCATCTATCCATTGTTTGGTCTATCTGTATATCTATCCATCATTGTTCTACCCTGTCTTTTTTTTATCTCTCATTCAATTCATCCATCATTCTCTTCTGTATCCATCTCTCTGTCTCTATTTTCTTTCTCCTTTTATATGTGTGTTCATTTTTTCCTCATCTCTCTCCTTCTCTATCTCTGTCTGTCTATATTTGTTCCATAATTCCATCTGTATGGATATCATCTTTATACTGTTTGTGTTTCTGTATATCTGTGTATTAGACATAGAAAGAGTGAGATTATTTTTGTCCCTTCAGATTGGGTGAGGTGGCTACCCTTGAACATGTATGCTTCCTATAGTATTCTATTATGTGAATATACCACAGCTTATTTATTCAATCTGATACTCACAGGCACTTGGGTTGCTTCTAGTTTTTATATTATGAGCTATGGATTTATGCACGTATAATTCTTAAAAAATTTTACTAGTACATATTTGCAGTATATAATGATTACATTCATCTGAGAAAGTTGGTACATGTACATAACACAATCTAAGTCTTTTTAAGTCCCCTTCTTTTTCCCATTTTCTCCCTCCTTTCATCTCTTGGTTCCCTTACCATTTGCAGAAGATCTTCCTCCTTACTTCCTATTATTCGTCTTTTATTTTAATGCGTACTTTTTGGTGAATAGATGTATGGATTTCTGCTGGATACACATTTATGAGTGGAACTGCTGAATCACAGGCAATGTACACACATAGATTGAGTAGCCACTGCCAAAATTTTCCGAAGGAGTGTCTTGCATTTACTGTCTAGCCAGCAGTGAATGAGGACTCTAACTCAATGCCAACATTTGATATTTTTCCATCTTTTTCATTTTGGTCATTTCAGCACTCAAGCAACTGCATGGTTGTGTAGGCTGCACAATATTTCATAGTATGAGTGTACAGCAATTTGTTTGGTCATGCCTCTGCTAATGAACACTTCAGGTATTTCCAATTTTTCCCCATGAGTAATTTGTACATACATCTTTAGGCACCAGATTGAGCCTTTTCCATAGGAGCAGTTCCAAAGGCTTAGACATTAAAATCTTTGATATATTCTGACTGCCAACTTTCTTCCCCAAAAGGCTTTACTAATTCATTTTCCTTTTTAAATGGTACAGGATATCCTTACTAAGCTTCAGTTTCCCTGGGTGAAAAAAGTAGATGACACCATGTATCTTTTAGGGTGCTTCTGGGGGAAATTCATAGGGTATCATGTACATAAAGCACACAGCAATGCTACTGCCTGGTGTGTAGGAGACACACTATATTTTCTTCTTTTCTGTCTCTTCCTCTTCATAGTTCTCCTCCTCATTCATTAGAATATTTGTTCAACAAATATTTATTAAGGATTGTGTCAGATGTCGAGTCAACCTTGGTAAATAAAACTGACACGAGCTTAATCCTAGTAGAGATGACAAGCTCATGTCATTTTCTCCTTTTTTCCTTCTCTATCTTCTCTATCACTATGGATCACCAAAGTGACTCATTGTATTAATGACACACCTACCATATGATTGTTTTTTTGTTTGGTTGGTTTTTTTTTTGGTACCGGGGATCGAACTTGGGTCCTTGAGCTTGCAAGGCAGGTGGTGGATCCACTGAGCTAAATCCCCGGCCCTGCCATATGATTCATGCTGGAGTAGACTTGGGGGCTATTGGGCTGTGTGTGGGAAGCACATATCTTTTTTTCATTAGTTTATTGGTACATTTTAGGCATACAATACAGTTACATTCATCATTGGGAACTTGTACCTTTGCATGATGTATCTTGGTTCTTATTTTTTCCCCATTCCCCTGCCCTCCCTTCAACCCCTCTGGCCCTCAAGAACATATCTTTTTAACACAACATACCTTGTGTGGTCTCCTCATAATGACCCAGGATAAGATCTGACTATTCTAGAAGAGGATAGAACGACACACCTGGGAAGTCATGGAATCACCTGCAGAGGTTGGGAGACATGATATCACCCAATTCTACAACGGTATAAAAACACATTTTTCATTGGAAGAGAAACCAAAACCAGAGAAACGCTGAATTAAATTAGACCCAACATTCCACCCTTACCCTATGTTAAACATTTTAATTAAACTGGGCTTCTGCCACTTTGTCCCTCTTTGAAACTTTGGTTTTTAAAAATATCTTTCACAGGATCTGTTCAGCTAAGAAGAGTGGACCTTAGAAGAAGGAATTGGAAACAGGTGATACCACTCCCATTGAGGACCTATGCTTTCTATATTATTACAGGGGTGTCTCTAGTGGTGTGCTAGAAAATATCTATCACCCAGATCTCTGGAAACAAAGCAACAGGAAACTAAAAAAAAAACCCCAAACAATAAAGAGCAAAAATATACATTCATTTGTAGAGTGTACCAATCTCCCTGGACTAATTACTCCATGTGGCTCATCACAAGCTACCAATATGGCACCACTGGATATGGAGTTGGGAAGAACTGGCCTGATGGAAGCCCAGGATTGAAGAATTTTTTCCGCAGGCAGCCATTCTGCAGGGAGGGACATGGGTCCAGACAGGCTGGTCCTTGG